CTACGCAGAGCCTCAGCGGCAGGGCCCTGGGCCTCGGCAGGCTCTGGTGGAGGCTCAGGAGAGGCAGTGGGGGGGGAATTGTCAGGTGAGGCAGGTGAGCTGGATGTGCTCCCAGGGGGCACCTGCAGCAGGAGCGTCACGGTGGTCACATCCCGACTGGTGACTTCGGGGGGTGGCTCTGGGACCTCTGCCTGCTGCTCCCGTTCCTCTGGCTCTGGCGCCTGCGGAGGACCCACAGGATGCAGCCAAGGCTCCCCGGCTGGCAGGTGCTCAGGGCAGGGCATGCAAAGCAGAGGAGCCGGGCACGGCTTCCTGCAGACCCACTGGCACCGGCGTGGGCACTGGCACGCTACGGGCAGCCCTGACCCTCCTTCCCAACATCTTGGTGTTGCCTAGTCACGGGCAGTTCAGAGAACCCACATCCAAATGCCAGGGGGTGGGGACGGCAGGACACCTTCTGGGGACTCCCAGACTCAATCGATCCCTGGAGTGGAGGTCCCTGAACACTGGCCTCCGCCTGGTTAGTCAGGGGGGAGGGTGGGTGTCCTGCCAGGGACCCAGCCGCCTCTGCTGGCCACTTAGGGGACCTTCATGGCCTGACCTCTCCCCCCCACGCCCTGGAGAACAGAGTCCACTCTGTGAACAGTGCTCCATGAGTCAGCTCGGGCCCGCGAAGCCGGCCCTATAGGCCAAGGTAAGGATGTGGGCTGTCTGGAGGGGGAGGGGCAGCTGCAAGATAGGTTTTAGCCGGGGAAGTACCAGGGTCAGATTGCATTTTGGGGGATCCCCTGTGTGCTGAGTGGAGGCCGAATGGCTGGCGTGAGGGTGGAAGGGCAGCAGGGAGGTCAACGAGGGTGGTAATGGGAGACGGACAGGAACCTGGGAGCAGTGCGGGCAGGCTGGCTTTGAGGGGAAGGTCTGGGTATAGACAACTGGGAAGTGGAGGGGGCGGCATATGGCCAGAGGGTGCCTGGGAGAATGGGCAGAGCCTTGAGATAGACTCCTAGTGTCCCCCAAACACTGCTGGGGGCCCTTTTCAGTCAAGTACCAATTTAGCAAAGATGAAGGTGCTCTGGGCTATTGGCATCTGCGGGCACAGGGCCCTGGACCCTCCTCGCACCTTGGCCACCTCTTACCTCACACCGCTCCAGCCTCTGTGCGGCCTGCCCCTTGCTGTCCTCTCTTGAGCCACTGTTGGAACGCCCACCGCACAACCTCCCAGCCAAGGTGGCCGCTAAGAGAGAGAGGGAAACTCTCAGGTGAGTGGCCGGGTGGTGCTACGGGCAGCAGGGGTGAGGGGTGGGGGTGGGGGGCCAGGGCGGGCACGTACCTTCAATCTCCTGGGCCCGGACTCGGCGGATGGCAGCCCGGATCAGCTTGCGTTCCTCATACTCACCGGCCCCTCGCAGCTGTGGGTGAGAGGCGGGCCACAGGGATTGGGCCACGGAGTCCAGGGCTTCACCTGCCCTGCCCCCAGCCCCTGCCCTGGCCTGGGCCTCACCAGCGCAGTCAGCTCCTCCACATCGTTCATGGACTCCAGCCGCCCTGCCAGCTGCGCCAGAGCAGCCCGCTGCTCGGCCTCTCGCTGCTGAGAGCTGCAGGGATAGCAGGCCCGTCACTCCCACTGCCATGGCCAGGTCATGGAGGATGTGGGCTGAGGGCAGGGGCCAGGACAGGGTGCCCAGAACCTTGGCAGAGGGGCATGGAGCTATGAAAACCCTTTGGCTACATGCTGGTGCCTGCATGCCCGTGGGTGTGAGCACTAATGTCACACACTCAGACATGCTGTCCGCATGGGCGTGGCCGGGACACCATGACTGGCATGTGGTCCATGCCCACAAACATCCCTGTGTATTCCGCCTGTACTGCCATGTGCACACCCATGTGCCTGCCTGCACCACCTGAGCTGAGCCCTGGCACATGCTCCCCGCACCTGCATGTCCACACCCCCCCTGCCCCCCCACCCAACACACACTCACTGCAGCCAGTTCTCCTTGTTGTCCTGCCGCTCAACACGGAAGCGTTTGGATGCCAGGGCCTCCTCCTCTCGCTCTAGCTCCTGCCGCTGCAGCTCCCGGATGGCCGAGCGGATGCGCCGCCGCTCTGCCAGATCCACGGTGACCTCCAACTGTAGGGCAGGCGGGGGCGAGGGGCAGGTCATTTGGGCTGCCAGGGGCGGAGGGCGGGCACCAGCTGCCCACGGCTCGGCCTGTGGCACAATGAGTGATCTGTCTCCACACCCGCTGCCCCAGGCCTGTCACGGGCCCGCTCGCCCACCCACCCAGCATGTCTGGGGGAGGCCCAGCTCACGAAGCCTGGGCTTTTGGACAGCCCGCCATGATTCACAGAGTGGGCAGCCAGCAATTGGCCACCTGGGCCAGGTGCTAAGCCGGGCACGCCTTCCTTTGACTCCTGCCTCTCAGAGCCACTCATCAAACCCCTGAGAGCCAGGGACTTATGGGAGGAGGTGGAGGAGGAAGAGGGAGGCCATCCTCTGGGCCCCTAACAGTGTCCCTGGGGAAGAAAGGTTGATTCAGGCAGCTGAGCAAGAGAGACTCCCATTGTCTAGCCCCAAAGTACCACAGCCCTGCTGGGGGGTGGCAGCCTCACCCACATTGGACAGATGGGGAAACTGAGGCAGGGGCTATTGTTTTCCCTGCACTGGCCAGGCCTCGCCACCATTGAAGGGGTGAAAGGGCCCAGAGTGGGAGGGCCAACCCCCTAGTGCATGCACTAGGGTTCACCCAGGTATCCATGGATGACAGGTGCTCCCACAGGCTCCTGAGCTCCTCAGTCCCTGGGAAGTTGGGGTGGCTGGTCTAACCAGGTCTAGGAAAGGGCACCTTCCCTTATCTGGGGAGAATCAGCCAATCATGTGACCCCCCCCCCCCCCGCCCCCCACGGTGCTTCTGTGGCTCCTGGGAGAGAGGACTGCCCCAGGGCCCCCAGGAAGATAATGGCAGAGATAAGCCTCCAGTGTGGGTCTGAGCCAGACGGGAACAAGTATAGAAAAGGTGATTTCCTCTGCCCCCACCCCCAAATCACTTAGGAGTAGGGCCCTCTACCCCCCTTCCTTTCTAGCCTCCTCCCTGATCATGCCTTCCTGCTCCATGGGGGAGCCAGATGGGGGGTGGGGGGTAGGTTTCAGCAGGGAGTGTGGGCTGGCCCAACTGAGCCATGAGCTCACGTGTCCCAATCTGAACAGAGCAGGGAAACCCTGGGACAGAGTCACTTCAGGTTCCTTCAGGCTCCACATTCCTGGGAATCTGTGTGGAGGGTCAGGGTCGGGCCGGAATTCCCAGCGGACTCTAGCAGTCTGGTCCTGGCGTGGTGGTCAGGGGCATGTCCTTAACCTCTGTGTCTTGGTTTTCTCATGTGCCCGATGGAACAATGCCTCCCACTCAGGGCGGTGGGTGGGGATGGGGACAGCGAGTCTCCCCACCCCCGCACCTGCCACGGCTTCGGCTGCAGTGAGCATTACCCCCCAGACACTTAGGAGGAGGGAGAACCGAGGGCAAATGAGTACAAGACACCCAGGTATCAGGAATATTTATGAAGAATCTGTATTCCGGATCCTGTGCTGAGCCCCTCACTTGTCCTAAACTCACAGAAACCCTGGCACTTTATTACTCCCCTTTGACAGATGGGAAAACTGAGGCTCCGGGAAGAGAAGCGATTTGCTTATGGTCAGATGATCTGAGCCAGGATGTGAATCCAGGTCTCTCTGACTCCAGGGTCTGCCCTGGGCTAAGGATAGGTCTGTTGCTGGGGTCTGTCTGCCACGGTGGGTACCTTGAAGGCCTTGTGTTGGGGTCCCCTGGTTAGTCAGGGGGGAGGGTGGGTCAGGCAGCTGAGCAAGAGAGACTCCCATTGTCTAGCCCCAAAGTACCACAGCCCTGCTGGGGGGTGGCAGCCTCACCCACATTGGACGGATGGGGAAACTGAGGCAGGGGCTATTGTTTTCCCTGCACTGGCCAGGCCTCGCTACCATTGAAGGGGTGAAAGGGCCCAGAGTGGGAGGGCCAACCCCCGAGTGCATGCACTAGGGTTCACCCAGGGTGTCCAGGGACGACAGGTGCTCCCACAGGCTCCTGAGCTCCTCAGTCCCTGGGAAGTTGGGGTGGCTGGTCTAACCAGGTCTAGGAAAGGGCACCTTCCCTTATCTGGGGAGAATCAGCCAATCATGTGACCTCCCCCCCCCCGCCCCCCACGGTGCTTCTGTGGCTCCTGGGAGAGAGGACTGCCCCAGGGCCCCCAGCAAGATAATGGCAGAGATAAGCCTCCAGTGTGGGTCTGAGCCAGACGGGAACAAGTATAGAAAAGGTGATTTCCTCTGCCCCCACCCCCAAATCACTTAGGAGTAGGGCCCTCTACCCCCCTTCCTTTCTAGCCTCCTCCCTGATCATGCCTTCCTGCTCCATGGGGGAGCCAGATGGGGGGTGGGGGGTAGGTTTCAGCAGGGAGTGTGGGCTGGCCCAACTGAGCCATGAGCTCACGTGTCCCAATCTGAACAGAGCAGGGAAACCCTGGGACAGAGTCACTTCAGGTTCCTTCAGGCTCCACATTCCTGGGAATCTGTGTGGAGGGTCAGGGTCGGGCCGGAATTCCCAGCGGACTCTAGCAGTCTGGTCCTGGCGTGGTGGTCAGGGGCATGTCCTTAACCTCTGTGTCTTGGTTTTCTCATGTGCCCGATGGAACAATGCCTCCCACTCAGGGCGGTGGGTGGGGATGGGGACAGCGAGTCTCCCCACCCCCGCACCTGCCACGGCTTCGGCTGCAGTGAGCATTACCCCCCAGACACTTAGGAGGAGGGAGAACCGAGGGCAAATGAGTACAAGACACCCAGGTATCAGGAATATTTATGAAGAATCTGTATTCCGGATCCTGTGCTGAGCCCCTCACTTGTCCTAAACTCACAGAAACCCTGGCACTTTATTACTCCCCTTTGACAGATGGGAAAACTGAGGCTCCGGGAAGAGAAGCGATTTGCTTATGGTCAGATGATCTGAGCCAGGATGTGAATCCAGGTCTCTCTGACTCCAGGGTCTGCCCTGGGCTAAGGATAGGTCTGTTGCTGGGGTCTGTCTGCCACGGTGGGTACCTTGAGGGCCTTGACACTGTGTTGGGGTCCCCTTCTAGTCTGGACTAGAGATACCTGTAACAGGTGTAAGGGGGAGGGGGCTATGATAGCAGAGGGAGGGAGAATGAAGCTCACCTTCCCACCTCCCAGTCCTGGCCTTGCCTCAGGCACAGAGCCCTCTGGGGTACACTTGGAGGTGGGGCCAGAAAAGAGCTGATCCAGCCCCCCCAATGCGGAGGTAAGTAGGCTTAGATGCAATGACTAGCCCTTTGTCTTCTGGGTCGCCCTTCCTCCAGAGGTGGGGTCCTTGTCCCTGAAAAAAAGCCCAAACTTGGCCACCTCTGCAACACCTGGGAGCTTCAGCGTCCTCATCTGGAAAACGGGGGCCTCCGTTTGAGCCCCCCCAAGTGGGTAGGGCAGGGCTGGGGGATGAACAACTTCATTCCACTGGCCACCCTCCAACATGACCCTTCCTTTGGGCCTGGAGGCCAAGATCCGCCCACAGTGTCCCTGCTGTGTGTCCTGCACTGGGGGCCCCTCTGGCCCCACTGCTGCGTGTGGAGGGGGCGTGGGAGGGAGGGAAGGAAGTACAAAGCGCCATTGTCCACCAGGGGGAAGGGGAAAGGGATGGGGCGTTTCCGAACCTGCCCCGTGAAATTCTCCGGGGAGGAAGGAGGGCGCTTCCTCCTGGGCAGGGGGCGGGCCTCTGGGTACTTTCTGCCCTCGCTGCTGGGGGCACCCCACAGGCCCTGGCGTCTCCCCACTAGCACAAGGGGGGAGACCCACTGCACTGGGCCTTCCTTCATTCCCATCTGGGGGACCCGCTGGCAGTGGAGCGAGGCCTCGCCAGGGGGCGCTGGAGGCCCGCAGACTCCCGAACCGCCGATCCTCCCAAGGCCACGCCCCCATCCAGCCTCACGCCCCGCCCCCAGCCCCGCACTAGGCGCCCAGGGGGAGGCAGACGGGAAATACCGCGATATCGGCTGCTATTTTTTGGTTAACCCTCGCCCGAGGGCATTTTTCCATTGATTTTTTTTTTTTGAGAGAGTGGAAAGGAGGGGGGGGGAGAGAGAAACATGGATGTGAGAGAGACACATGGATTG